GCAGAAAGAACCTTTGACGAGCAGTGTTGGAAGCCAAGGAAACTAGCTGACAATACAAATATCTGAACGCACGATTGGTCTCGGCCACTACTGTCCTGTGGAAACTGAACTGAACTGAACTGGACAATCCAAGCGGACAAAATCCTGTACATTGGGGATTTCAATACTCCGCAGATTCATTGGAAGGACGAGAGTGCTCAGCAGGGATCGTTTGGCCAAGCTTTATTGAATGTCCTCCACGACAAGACTCTGGTGCAACACGTGGACCAAAATACTAGATGGTGCACGGGGCACTGTCCAGCCCTACTTGATCTAGTGATCACTAGATGTGAAGCGCCTGGTAATTGCAGCACCGCTTGGAAAAAGTGACCATGCCATGATCCACTTTACATTCACCGTACAGGGGCAGCCTCCCCCAACAAGGTACGCAGGGATTACGGTAGAATGAATCTAATCGAACTAAAAGCCCAGGCGCAACTGATGCTCTGGTCCACTGATGCAAATCAGGGAGTAGAACAGGCAAATCAGGGAAAACCTGATAACCCTAACTGATACTCATACCCCATCCGCTCAATAAAGAGGATGAGTAAACCACCATCGTGAAAAGCTTAGGCCAGGAAGGCACAGGCGATAAAGAAGAAAGCCTGGGGGAGACTTATAGCTACAGATGGACACCGAAAGTACCCGAAATATAGAGTGACCCAGAAATGGGCCAACAAAATACAGAGTGAATGTCGAACCGCCTAAGAACTAAAACTCGCCGTCATTGCGAAGGTCAACCCCAAAGCATTCCTTAACTATGTTCAGTCCAAGGCCGCCACATGGGCAGCCGTCGGTGACGTGATGAACCACCGGGGTACACAGACAACCACAGCGGAAGAAAAAGCGGAGGTCCTCCACTGTTTCTTTGAACAGGTTCACAGGCAGGATAGAGGACAACTAGGCTATCAATAACCGAGATCCCAACGATGACTGAAATAGAGTTCTCGCCAGAGGAAGTCAAGGAACAGCTGATTCGTCTACAGAGAACCGAGGCAGCGGGGCCAGACGAAGTACACCCCGCAGTAATGCGCCCACATGCTGAGGTTCTGGCGGTTCCCCTGTCGATACTTTTTAACCGGTCTTTAACCGACGCTAAACTCTTTGAGTAGTGGGCACTAGCAGCAGTCACGCCCATTCATAAGGGGGCAATGAAAAAGGTAGCGGATAACTATAGACCAGTCAGCCTTACATCAGTAGCTTTTAAAGTGATGGAAAGGCTAATAAGGAACGGGATCGCGACTCGCATTGCTGAAAACGAACTACTATCCGCTAGACAGCATGGCTTTTTGTCGAAATGGTCCTGTCTCACGAACCTGATCGCTTTCCTTGACGAAGTGACACGGAGGTTAGATGAAGAGCAAGGAGTTGAAGTATGCTACCTTGACTTCCAAAGAGCCTTTTATTTATTTAAACATCGTTTCCTCCGGCGCAAGTTGAATGACCTAAACTTAGCGCCAGGAGTTTTGAGATGGATAGGTAGATTTCTGCAGAACAGGTCCTTCTATGTGAATGTGGAAGGGTGCCGGTCGACCGTAGGACGGGTATCC